ACGCCACCAGGGCGTGGTGTTCTGAGGGGTTTAGGGTTTAGGGTGTGGGGGTGTGGGGCTACTGAGACATGTGGGGGGAGCTCGTCAAGGGGGGGGCGGGGTGTCCTTTTCATGTGCCCGGTTTGCAGGATGGGGTCTACAATATGGGCGCCTCAATATTTCTACCAATAACAATGGCAAGAAGAACAATAAGAATAATCATCATTGACGTAATAGAGTTTGAAGGTACATGATGGTAAAATTATATTAAACTTACTTAAGGAATGTACTGCCTTACGACTAAGCCCTAGACCTAACATGTCAGCCGCCCTAAAACCTATAAATCCGAAAACTCATAAGCCTCGTAAACCCGCTCCTCCCCCATCTTATGCTGTCTGTATTGGCAGATGGACTAAAAAACTGAGAATCCTACTACTCGTGTTCTTGATATCGCAATCATCATGGTAGTAGACCACAAGTTCTCCAACGATGTAGGTTCTAGCAGCAATCTCTCTTTGGGTGGAAACTGTATCCAACAGCAGCAACATACTTTGACACCCTGAATGCTCACGCGTTTGTGCCTGCGCCGTGGTGGAAACGCCTCCTGCAGAATGGCATGTCAACGGGATAGGCTAGGCCGCTGAAGCAGGGTGGTGGCTTACGTCTGACAAGTTCAGGTCGGGTGGGCGTAGACTAGAGCTTATAAGGGTTTTGGGGCCAAGGACAATGTAGCGGTAGCCAGTCCCAAACCATGCACTACACCCTAGTTTGAAAATCGGCCTTGCACCGAATATAGGATTAGGATATGCATATCCACAACGCCGTTTAGCAGGCCATAATCACTATACCATCCACAACCCAAAAGCCAACAGCCCTAACACCATCGAACAACAAACCTCCAACACCTCTCAACCCCCGAAAAGCCCAAAACCTAAATCCTAAACCCTGAACTCAAAACCCTAAACCCCTTAATTGAAACGCCGAAACTCTTTGCAAAGCTCCTCCAGGCTGCCTGTCGCCGGGGCCCGCGCCGGACCCTCCTGACGTCTAGAACATAGGGGTCTTAATGACTAGAGCAGGGCGGCTTGGGGGTATCATGGTCTTATTGCAGTAGGGACGGGAAGGGGGACTAGAATCGGCTAGTCTTGCATGTGAATTATGCCGATGTCCATAAATATACGATTTACGATGTAGGCGTTTAGGGTTTCTGGCTCGGGGTTCACCAACTAGGTATTAAAAATGTAATGTTAAGGATTTCAGGGTTTAGGGTTTTAATCCGTTTAATTTTGGATTGTTTTGTTATTTCGGGACAATTTAGGGCTTTGGCCTTAAAGGCTTCATGTTCAAGGCTTGCCAGAATCACAGGGCGGTGCACCGCTCCAGCAGTGTTGTTCGAGGTTGTGGTGATGTCGTCCATGTCGTTTTGTCATAGCGAACGCTTTTGCCTTGGCTGCTGCAGTCGCTACGATGTTGTTGGTTGGCATCATGGGGAAAGCTCCCAGCCGCACCTAAGACTGTACTACTGCAACAGCCGGGAATAGGTGTTGTTATACATCCGGATTTGCTGTTTGTCCTCTGCATGTGGAGACTTGATCTCCAGTGCTGTCTTGACCAATCTAGAATGTACCTGTAGCATACAAGACAACATCGAACGACACCTGCAGGGACGAGGACTTCCGAATCACAAAAAAGCACCCTGAACCCTAAACCCCTAAACCCTGAACCCGCAAGCCCGACCTCTGCTTCAATCCTTGTGTCCGCCGACCCCACAGGCCCCAAGACCACGAACAGCTATCTAGGAGTTAGGATTAGGGGGCTCTCAATAAGGTCCCCTTTAAGAGAGCCATAAGCAGGGCTAAGAAGGGTCCCATTTAAGGGATGTCCCTAGTACTACTTAGGACTATCAAACAACTACAGAGACCAGACTGTCAAACACCCTCTATAGGAATCCACACAACCAGAATCTAACTCCACTTCTAGACTATGGTCATGACCGCGATGCAAGAACACATAATTACACTCCCTTTGACTGCTTATACGTATGTGCATAGCCTTTAGCTCTGGGAGCACAACGTACATATATATATATATATATGTATACGTGTGTGTGTGTGTGTGCTTAAATATGTAGGCATTTATGTACGTATGTATGTCTGTATGTATGCATGTCCTCATGCGTGTATGTATGTATAGAACCCGAGATTTGGGTGTTTACCTCTTATATTGTGAAATCAACAATAGAAGTTGTCCCTTTGTAGCACCCAGCCTGCATTCCGCCGGCGCGGCGTGGAGGGAAGGCATCCTCCCACCAAGATGGGGGGATTTAGAGCGTGATGTAGGGGCCTTAATAATTAGAATAGGGTTTTGGTGGTTCCGTATTATAATTAGGAGTATAATATACCCCCAAACTTAACCCCATTCCAAGCGTGAAGGCCCCTGCATTAGGGTTTACAGGGTTTCGCGTGGAAGGGTTCGAGGCTTAGGGCTTCGGCTTTGACCAAGGAAGACGGGCCTCACGATTTCGATAGGGTACTGGGGAATGAAAATATATATATATATATATACACATATATATATATATATATATTTATACATACACATATAGGTATATACCATATATATATATATACATACATACATATGTATATACATACTCTAGTAAATAAGTATGCAGCCCTCCGTCTCTCCATAGCCTGGGACTTCGGCACTGTGTAGGGCTTGGGTGTTTTTGGGGGGTGCGGTTTCATGGTTTGGGATTCGGCTGACACTCAAGAACAGCCCTACTTAATTACCCCAGAGGGTCCGAGTACCCAAATAGTAAGGTTTTAGGTCCAAAATCCATACTCTGAATGGTTTTTGGACCCTGAAACCCTACTATTTGGGTACTTGGACCCTTAGGGTACTTAATCCCTAGCTGGGCTTGGTGGCTCCACAGCGTTGAGTATTGAGGCCTGAGTAAGACGGACTTTTTTTCTTTTTTTAATCTCTGTGTACACATACACTCATGCAGGCATATCAAAATGCCACTCCAATGATTCAGGCTCCTGCATTAACGGTAGCATCGGGAAGCTAAACGTGCTTCAAGCAACATGAGAACCAACATCCGAAATCCAAAATCGCAAACCAAAACCTGAACCCTGGACCCAGAAGCCTAAACTCAACATTCCAAGGGCACAGCTATTGATTTATCTAGGTTTTTTTGGAGCCGAAGGTTTCATCATTGCTACTGATCTCTGAACCCTGAAGCTGAAACACACATCGAGGAAAGCCCGTGCGGCGGCACAAGAAGATGGCCTCCAGCCCCCCAGAGAAGCCTGGCGAGCGATTGGCTTCTACAACAGGCCCTGGGATGCGCTGGGATTTTTTGTTTGACAATCCTAAAACCCTACACCCTAAACCCTAAACCCCAGACGCGAAAACCCTAAACCCCTAAACTCCTAAACCCTAAACCCTAAATCCCGGACCCCAAACCCTCATACCCTAAACCCTAAACCCCAAACCCTAAAATCCTAAACACTGATTAAGACTTTCAAGTGACAGGCTGAGGCTTAGGGCCTGAACCCCAAGCCATAGTATAACATAGGGGCCTAAATCATTACGAATACCGCATTAGTGGCTCCTGAATATAGCTACAGTAGAATATGCCCCAAAACCCTGCTCTAATTTTTACCCATAGGCCCCATAGTAGTTCCGTTTTGGGGTTCATATTTAGGATCCTATTAGGTAATCCCAAAAAGGAACTACTATGGGGCCTATGGGTACGGCCCCTAGATTACTTCAGGCTTAGGGCGTGCGGCTTCGTGTGTCTTGGCGGCTTGGGGGTTGAAGGTCGCTTATTAAATTAGCGGTTCAGGGTTTAGGGTTTAGGTTAGGGTGAATTTACAGGCCGAAGGGGTTTAGCGTCTACGATGCATAACCCTCAACCCTTATAGTTCAGAGGCTTTGCAGCGCAAGTTCCGGATTAGGCGATCGCCCTAAACCCCTAAACCATAAGCTCTTAACCCTAAACCCTAAACCCCCAACCCCAAACCCTAAACCCCTTGTCCCGCCTCCTCCGTTTGCTTGCCGGGAAGGGAAAGCATCCTCCAAGCTTCCGAAGCCTGTGGGGTTCCTTTAAGGGTTCTATAGGGGTTTAAGGGTTTAGGGGTTTAGGGTTTAGGGGTTTAGGGGTTTAAAGTTTAGGGGTTTAGGGGTTTAGGGTTTGAAGAGTTTGGGGTTCAGGCTTATGGGTTTATGGCTTAGGTTTCTAGCAGGGTTCTACTATAAAGGTTCGACTATGAAGGTTCTATAGGGTGTTCGTATGCGAAGACTTAGTAAGCGTGATTATGAGGAATCGAAGTATAGTCACCTGAGGCATGCTTTTCTCTGGTCATTACCTTAAGAACCCAAAACCTACTTTTTTGTAGGGTCCCTATAAATCCCATATGAGATTTATAATAAGAACCTACAAAAAAGTGGGTTTTGGGTTCTTAAGGTAGTTTTAACACCTCCAAGTGTACACCCACCAGTATTCTTAAGAAAGCCCTACAGACACTTACCCAAACCAATGACAAGATTCCTAGCTCTTCTCCAGTTACAACCACAACTAAGGCGCTGAAGGGGGCTTAGCCGATTAGTGATTGAAAGATCATGAAGACTGGGGTACGAGGGATTTGGTCTAGGGCACATGCTGACGGGCCTGCGTCCTGCAAATGAACCATCAGTTCTTTATGATGGCAAACGCAGTGTACAAAGCAAGGTGTTCCCATGTGCTTTGCGATCTCTCTGTGCAGGAATGCCTGTTTCAGAAAATCCAAGGCAAGGGTCAGGGTCATGTCCACTTGCTTCTCAAGAAAAGCCTGCTTCAAAGCCTCGTGCTTCGGGACCGATCTGGTTCCCAGCTCGACGCCTCTCATCAAGGACCTTCTATCCCGCCGCTTTGAGGGGCTGTATAAGTACGAAGAGGGTTGATAAAAGGTTCAGGGGTTTCCTGTGGTCTCCATTGTAGTTCCTCTTTTGGGTTACCTTCCAGGATCCTAGTTGTAAAAACGGTTAAACCAAAAAAAAAGGAACTACAATGGAGACTATAGGTAGCATACCCTAAACCCGAAGCCCTCAACCCTAAACTCTAAGGGCTTTTGGAGGGACCCTTAATAGGGACCCTTGTAGGTTATTGGGGTTAATATGGGGATATAAGGACTATACAATGGTTAGTTCAGGTAATGGGATTAAGGGTATCTATTAGGGGTCCCTCCTAAAGTCCTTCGATAAACCCTCAACCCGGTTTAGGACATAAACACCACAAGGTGGACAGTCAAAGACGCAACATACCCGGCTCGAACCGCCAAGCCCCCTACAGTAAACCGAAAGACCTTCCCTTTTAAGGAACTATATGGGTAGCTCCCTAAATCAGGGTCCCTTTTTCGGTCCCCAATGTAGTACGGCACCCGTATAAAAAGGACCCCCAAAGGGGCCCTAATTTTGAAAACTACCCACATATAGAAGCCATGATAAGGAGCCCTGAAAAGGTAGGTCTTTTCGGTATACATGTAAACCCGAAAGCCTATACCCTAAACCTTGAGTTCATTTGCCGGCTGGCCAGTAGCACCCGGCCAAAGCACCGATCTCTCCATGCGGAGCCCTTAATAAGAACCTCCTTCCCGTCATAGGTGTTTAGGGTTTAAGGCGGTAAAAGCAGGGATCCCCAAAAAATAGGCCACTGAGGAGAGGGGGGAGAGGTCTGCATGAAATCTGCACAAACTCCGACAAAAATCGGAGCAGCACCTGGCAAAAACCACATAAAACCAAGTCAAGCAAGACCCTAAACCCTAAACCCTAAACCCTAAGCCTCAAAGACCCCGCAAGACACCAAAGAGCCCCAATTCTCGCAGAACTCGGGCCTCCCCCGGCGCTCTGCCGCGACGGAAAAGCATCTTCAAGGCTCCCAAAGCCTCCCCCGGGGTGGTTTTTCTGAAGTTTGGGATTTATAGGGTTTCGGATACCACGGTTGATGATACACATCCTGATAATAAGGAATATATACCGTAATTCCCATCGTTTGGGGTCTTGAAGGTAATGCAGGATTTATATCATCAACCGCAGGACCCTCCTTCTTGTACCCTCAAGTAGGAGTACATGGTCCCTAACAGTGGGTTCTCAGAGTCTAATAGAAGATAGCAGGATTTGCGGTTTCGGGCCACGGGTGTAGAGGGCTCGGAGGGATTAGGGTTTAGAAGGTTCGGCTTTAGGATTTTTGGGGGGGGTTCGGGTTTGGGGTTTCAGGTGTGGTTTGTCGAGGGTTTCGGTTGGGGTTTCTTAAGCATTAGGGGTGTTATGAGGGTCAGGGGTTTTGGCAAAGAAGCGGCTCGATGAAAGAGTTCTTTGTCTTATAACCACCCATGTCGGCGAAAAAGCATAGCAGCTTTAAGCCCTATAAACCCTGAACCATGAACGCCTCCGAACCGGAGTTTGGAGGTTTAGGGTTCGGTGGAATTGGAGTAAGGAGAGCAGCAGCACGAACGTGACCAGTGCGCCCAAGTAGGTCTTGACAACCGGCAGGTGTCGGAGGAGGAGGAGGATGTCGACGAAGAACTGCTGGAGGAAGAACTCGGAGCCTCGTACACGGCAGCTTCCTGTGCCCAGGTTAGGCACCTGCAAGACGGACTGCAAACAAAGGCTTTTGTGCCGCCCGTCAGTTCAGGCACATGAGTAGAAACATAGGCGCGAGGACTCCACTGCATGAGTGCCTTGGTGGCTTGAGCTTGAAAGACAGCTATATAACCTCCAAACCCCTGAACCCTTGAAGCCAACCACCACAAACCCTGAAGCCTGAACCCGACGCCCCAAATCCTAAACCCTAAATCCTGAACCCTGAACCCAAGACCCTAAACTCTAAACCCTAAATCCTAAAAAATCCTAAACTCTAAACCCTAAACCCAAAACAATCCTAAGCTCCAAACCCTAAATCCTAAAAAATCCTAAGCTCTAAACCCTAAATCCTACAAAATCCTAAACTCTAAACCCTAAACCCTACGGAGCTCAAATCGCAAACCCCTATAAACTCTGTGCCTAAGAGTGATGTGCACTGCACCTCCAGCTCCCTGCCGAGAGGGAAACGCATCCTCAAGGCTACCGAAGCCTCAAGCGTTCGAAATGGTTCTAGAAGAGTTTTGTATAGCAATGGCTCTTTTCAGAGGAGGAATTTAGGGCTTTGGGTTTAGGGTTCTAGTAAGGAAAGTTTTAAATAACATTGGTTCTTTTGTAGTTTGATAAGCGCACTACAAGGGCTTGGCGGTTTGGGGGCTTATACGGGTACTAAAGTCGCTCTTCGGATTGCTTCTTGGGGTTCATGGTGTTTTATGCATGGTTTAGGCATCAGTTTAGGGTTTAGGGTTTAAGGTTTAGGGCTTAGGGGTTCAGGAGGCAAGCATTTGGGACTTAGAGGGTTTAAGGATTGCTTAAGGGTTCGGGGCTCTACGCCCGGGTTTAGGGTTGATAGGGTGTAGCATCGACGTAGCAACGCAATCGAGCAGCTTGAGTGTTAACAGTTATTTAACAACCGCACCCTAAACCCCTAAACCCTAAGCCCTAAAACCCTAAACCCTAATAAACCCTAAACCCTTAGGGTTTAGGGTTTTAGGGTTTAGGGGCCTTCAGACTTCTCCGCAACACCATCTTCGGGTCCGAATCGTCTGGAAACGCTGCGAAGAGCAACGGCACACTTGGCGGCACATAACGTAGGGGCCTTAATAATTAGAATGGGGGCCTTGGGGCCCATTATACTATAATTATAATAACGAACCCCCAAAATAGTATTGGTAATTATTCATAATTTAGGCCCCTACATTAACGCTGCAAATGTCTCGGTCACGCCAAGCTGCCCAGCGGCGCTTGCTTTCCTCTCAGCCCCGGTCAGCATGGAGCGAAGCCACTATAAACCCGAAACCCTAAACTTAAACCCATGGTTGTTGAAGAGGCCTAAACCCTAAACCCTAAACTTAAACCCAGGTTTTTGAAGAGGATGAAGTCCGTGACTTGAACGCCTGGCTTGTTCCGCGATTGGCAAGAGAACGCAGGCGATGCTGCTGCTCGCTCAATCGAAGAATTGAGCGGCTAGTCCGTCAGGATAGGCGGCACCGATCTTTGTTGTAGCACCAGAAACGTGCCGATGATGATATCAGACACCTTGAAGTGTGTTTGGAGGGTCCTGCTAAGCCCTATCAGTCTCAGAATGAACCCTGAACCCCTAACATCCATCCCCGGCATTTTGCCTTATCTAGCTTTCGACCCGAAGCCTAAAACGACTCCACCCTAATTCCCAAACCCCTGCACCTCAAATATAGCTGACCGAAAATCAATGGTTTCTCTCGGGGACGTTACCCTGCAAAGAGTTGCGGAACACCAAGGAAGATCCCTGTAGAATCCTTGTGAATTGTGTCATATACTATGATTGTATGACTACAACCACAAAACACTTCTACAAACGTATACAGGCCTCTCAAAACCCCTAAACCCCAGACCCGGTCCTAAACCCTACACCCCTACCACTACATCCTACAACCTATACTTAAGCCTAAACCTCAAACCCCAAATCTACCAGCGCAGACCAAAAGTGACGATCCCTCGACGAAGGCCTTCTCGGCTTCCGCCAGCTCGTGCAGGGCCGTCGTAGTGTGAGCAGCGCTCCTCTCAATTAGGGTTTAGGGTTTGAGGTTGAATTAGGGTCTTTGGGGTCGAGGGTTTGGGTCTAGGATTTAGGCTTTAGGGTCTTGGGTTACAGGTTTAATGTCTAGGGTTCTGGGTTTTGCCTCCCCCTCCCTCCCCGAAAGATGGGGGCTCCAGTGGTGGAAAAGATCCACCATATAGGGGCAGTAATGGAGTTTGGAGGGACGCAAAGCGATGATAGACATATCTAAACCCTAAACCCTAAACCCAAATCAGACCCTAAGCCTTACCCATAGGCCCTAAAGTAGTTCCTTTTTGGGGATCATATATAGAATCCTATAAAGTAATCCCAAAAAGGAACTACTATGGGGCCCATGGGTATAAACCCTAAACCTTAAACCCTTGTGACAGGGCTTCACTGGCCCTTAACCTTAAACCCTGAACCCTAAGCCGACTCTGCCGAAGCTCGCCGACGTTCAACAGCTGCCAGGAACCAACAAACCTTGCAGACACTTGGCTAGCTTTCTAGCTCAGGGCGCCTTCTTTTGGGATTTAAAGGGGACCCTCATTTAGAGATCTACCCACACACTAAGACACTCCAAAACCCCCTCATTAAGGACGGAGGAGTACGTATACCTGGATCCTGAACCCTAAACCCCAAAATGGACCAGGATCCCCTCTACAAAGTACGGTGCATGGCTTGAGTATGCAGTCGCAGTCGCTGGGTAGAGTCCGGTGTAGGGTTTAAGGTTCAGGGTGTTGGGTTGAGGGTTTTGTTTTTGTTTGAGCTCCTTTTTCCGGCTGCATGATCCACCCGAAAGGCCTTAAAGACCAGGAGTTCGGGCATCAGCACGAGGGTTTAGGGTTTTGGCTTTTAGTCCGTACTTAATGGGGCTCTCAACGCTGTGCTATAAGCCCTCATAACACCCTATTCAAGCGCTGCGCTGACTTGGACACTTGATCCACATGCCCACACCTATCAGGGAAAGTCTGAAGCCTAAACCCGAAACCCTAAATCCCATAATCAACACCCTAAAACCTAAGCACGAAAAACCTCCTAGCCCCCTGAAGTGACCAAAGGAACTACAAACCCGAAAAGCAGTAGGGCCTCCCCCTTGAAGGAACCCTTAAAGGAACCCTTAAAGGATCCCTTAAAGGAACCCTTATAGGAACCCTTAAAGGAACCCTTAAAGGATCCCTTAAAGGATCCCTTAAAGGTTCCCTTTTGGGCACCTCCAAAAAGCACTGAAAACCTGCAGCCCGTCCTGCATCAATCGCACGCTTCGCTCAGGCTTGGAGCGGTGCGGGAGCGACCTCTTATAGGGTTTAGGGTTGAGGGTTTAGGGTCTATAGCAGAAGCCAGAAAGTTGGAACATCAATATCCTCATGCCCTAAAGGTAAAGTATAGGGGATCCTCGCACCAATCCGCCTAAAATCATGTTCCAACTTTCTGGGGTTCACTGTAAGGTTTTCTTTATTGGACTTACGGATTGGGATTTAGGGAGTAAGGGGTTTAGGGAACGAGGGTTGGAGCGCCGAATTCATCAGGGGGTTAAGGCTTAACTTAGGCTTTTAGTAGGAAGCCCTAAACCCTAAACTTAGCCCTAATGTAGGCTTCCGAACAACTCGGGTCGTGCAGAGTTTAGAACTTCGCACTCTGAGGGGGTTTAGCAAGATTTCGGAGGTGAGAGCTTTAGAGTTAAGGAGGTTTCGCGATGTAGGGTTTAGGGTTTAGGGAGTTGTGGGGCTTAGTTTAGGGTTTAGGGTTGAAGTGTTTACCGTTTTGGGGGGCGTTTAAGATCGGGGTGGATACCTATGACTATTAGGTGAGAAGGGAGAGGAGGTAAGTAGAGAAAGGAGGCTACGCGTTGGGGTTGACATTAGGGACGCCCAAGCCTGAAACCTTCCATGTTGGTGTTGAGGTTTTGGTTACGGGGGTTTAGATATTTACGATGTAGAGTCTTACATACCCCAAACCCTAAACTCAAAACTTGTTTCTTGGGATTTTCTTTGTTTGAAGGGTTCTTACGGCTTATGGCAGCTCCTGGGCTGTGTTGGAATCAAGCGATATGTGGGCTTCTCCCTTCCGATAGCAGAGGACTGCCTCAGCCTCGTTGGCAGTATCAGTTCCGTGGTCCAAAGAACCCGAGGTAGGCACCCGCTTATAGACAGACTTTAGACTCCGCAATAGGTACTATTTGTATACTTGGAGGGTTTGGGGGTTGATCCAAGATGTAACATTGTACGTGAACTCGTAGCTCTTAACGGTTGATGGCATGCAACCCGTTCGGCCGGAACGTGGCTATCGACGTGAATGACATGATGATGCCGACCCTGCCTCGGTTGCGGTGCTTCATGCTGAGAGCATAAAAAATAAAAAAGCTATATCCATCAAGAGTTTTTTCTGCCCAGGTAGCTTCTGAGGTTGAGTTTAGGGTTGAGGGTGAAGGACCTAAAGGGTGCAGGTGAACCCCTCAAAAAACACTAAAACCCAAAGACCTAAACCCCAACACCCTACATGTTGAGGCTCTAGGGTGACGGGCTCATGCCCAGCCCGGCTCTTACCTGGCGCCATGCAACGACACCCACGGAACTTGGAAATCCGTTGTCTGTGACTAAGTCTCGTGTTTCTCGCAATGGTTTTTCAGCCCTCAGTGATGTTTATCAAGAGCCACAAGGCCTGAGGTTAAATGAGAGGCGTATCCTTGAAGAATAGCAGACTAGCAGAGAGCAGCAGCCCGGAACTAAACTCCGCGAAGGTCATACAGCCCATTTGCCCTGACCCACTCAACGACGAGAACCAAAACTCCATCGTCATGGGCTTGGCTCCAACCTTCCTGAACTTCGGATGAGCGTTTAGGGCTTTTGGTTTAGGATTCTGAATTACAGGTGTGCGGCTAGGAGCATACATCCGAATCATGCGACATATACACAGAGTCGTATAAACACAAGATAATGTAGGGGCCTTAATATTTGGCCTTAATACCAGGACCCCCCAATGGCCCCTTAATAGAGCCCTTATGGTCCCTAATAGTGGGTATTTGGGGTATATTAGAGGGTAGTTGGGGGGTCTAGGTAATTAGAGTAAGCTTTTGGGTTCCTTTATACTCTAGTTATAACAAGGAGCCCCCAAAATAAGATAGGTAATTATTAAACCCTAAACCCTAAACCCTAAACTGCCCTAAACCCCAAATAATAAGATAGGTAATTATTGAGGTCCCTACATCCCCCACATCTCCCCAAGCCCCCGGCCAGGATCGATCCTGCGAGCCCCCAAGCTGGATGGGATCGTGCAGGACCATCTGTTGGACCTTACACTAGGGGCCTTAACAGTTAGAATAAGGTGTTGGGGTACATTATACTATAATTATGATAATAAGGAACCCCCAGCATAGTATAGGCAGCTACTATAAGGCCTCTATATTATCCACTCTTGCGTGTCGCCCTTGTGAGGGCAAGGGTGTTCCGAGTCTT